GAGTCGTAGCCCGTCCCCAGTCCCATGCTGCCACTGATGCCCAGGTGCGTCATGGTGTTGGCCAGGTTGCTGGTGCTGTTGCCCCCGCTCAGGCTGGGGTAAGCGGTCTCGTCCGGGTCGAGGGGGGTGGGCAGCGGGGAGGGGAAGTGCAGGTTGGTGAGGTCGGGAAGCGAGCCACCCGTGTTGAGGGCCGAGGGGATGAGGGGGACGTTGGCAGGCTGATCCGGGGATGGAAATATGCTGGGGGGGGAAAAGAGAGAGATGCTCGGTGTGGGAACGCCGCTGCCTCCTCCCGCACCCCCCTCCCCAGCAGCCCAGCCCCCCAGCTCCAGCCCCTTTTCCGCAGCCGCCCGTGGGCTCGGGCTGCCCAGCCCAGGACTTACTGGATCCCAGGGACTTCGCAGGAGCGTGGACGGGCCGAGGACGACGAGAGCTGCAAAATCAAAGCGGAGGAGTGAAGCAAGGCCGGAACGCTGAACCTGCGCTCCCGCCCCCCCAACCCTGGGCGGTTTGAGGGCAGGAAGGAGGCAGAGCCACCCGGGTGTCGCAATGCCCGGTGGGCAGGAAGCAGGGGGACAGAGGGGTGACTTCCTCGCAGTCCTTCCTCTGCACCCACCTTCTTGGTGTCCCAGGGCTTCAGCGAATGCTTGTTGTCGTCGAAGGTCTCTTCGATGGGAGGCACTTGGAAAAGAAACACTGGCAAGGTGGGGGGAGCAGAGGGTCAGCGTGGGGAGAGAGGCACAGCCCACCCACACCCACCCTAGGGGCACCCACCAGTCATGAGTGGGGTATTACAGACCTGCCCACCACAGAGGGGTCTCCAGGCCCCCCCACATCCCACCCGCTGCCCCCGCTCTTTGTAGACTGCAAGTGGGGGGACACACGGGTCCGTGCTGGGCTCGGTGGCACGGTGCTGGGTGCGGGCAGGCACTCACCTTTACTGTCCGCGTCCCCGTCCAGAAAACCTGCGAAAGAGCAGGCGACCGTTAGTGGCAGCACACGGGGACTGGGGGACACCGGCCAGCACCGCGGAGGGAAGGCAGGAAGGGGGGGGGCTGCTGCGTGACCCCACTGCAGAGGGACAGGGGTCCACGGTGTTCCCCCCCCCCAGAGTCCTCGAGGGGTGGAAGGGGCCCGGGGTCCCAAGGCAGCCGGGTGGAGGTGGGGAGCAGAGGGGTGCTGCTGGGGATAGTGGGGTGCGGAGGGAGGGGACACTCACCGCTCCGGCGCCCGGGCGGCGGGGCGCCCTGTGAGGGGCCCAGGTACGCGTCCTGGGGGTTGGGGTTCATCACGCTCGTGTGAAGCGCCGAGTCAGAATTTGTTCTAATTGGAAAAGGAAAAGTGATTGTCAGAGGGGCCCTGGGCTCGGCCCTCGCCCCCCACCCCATTTACAGTCTGCTGCCGTGACAACCCCCCACGGTGGGGCAAGAGCAGGGCTGGTGCAGCAGGTAAAAAAGGGGAAGAGCAGGGGGAGGAAGGGAAGGAGAGCACGGGAGGAAGAACCGCCATGCCTGACACTTCTTGTGCCCAGGGTGAGCCCTGGAGGCAGATGCCAAGGGGCTCTGTGGGGACGCCATCCCCTTCTGCCAGCCCTCCCCTCCCCACGCGATGCTCGGGGGGGGGTCCCTCACCCCACACTTCCAGACATGCCGGGGCTTGCTGCAGCCCCATCTCCTCCGAGGGACGGTTCTGCCACCACAGCGAAGGCCCCGGAGCCCTTGCCACCCTTGGCACGGGGGAAGATGGGCTCCCCCAGGGACCCTTTGTTTCCCCCAGGGGCCCTGAAGGGGCTGGGGGCAGAGGACCCAGGGATATTACACCCATTGTGTTCCCAATTAGTTGGTCTGAAGCGGATGAGCGCGGGGAGGGGCTGGGAAAAGGCTGCTCGAGCTAATGACGCGTCCTGGGACCGCACAAGGGGGATATTGTTCAGCTGCGGCGCAGCTGGGAGGCAGGAAGCTCCCCCCACCGCCCATGGGACGCAGCCCCCTCCTGCACGGGGCCCAGCCGGGGAGTGATGGGCGCCCGCCCGCCGCACGGCCAGGGCCCCACTGCCGACAGTGAGCCCCGGGAGATGCCGGCACCGCTCCCTGCACAACCCAAGGGAGACAGAGAGCGGGGACTGCCGGGAGCAGCATCAGCAACGTGCCAGCCCTGAGTCCCCGCTCGCCCTGCCGAGACCCCGCTGTGTCCCAGCCTGGGGAAGGCAACAACCCCGAGGCCACCCCGACTCCTGCGGGACAAAGTCACAGCCCTTTGGGGCTGGCAGGGGCAGCTCCTCCCTGTGCCCAAGCCCAGCCACAGGCTCAAACCCACTGCTCTGCAGCCTTGCTGGGCTCCCAAGCGGTGGCCCGATCCCCCAGGGCCACGCTGGCTCCTGCTCCTTGTGCCATGCTGGGGGGAAACCAACCGGGGGACACCCTGCCCTGCATCCAGGAGCCCCGTGTCCCCAAAAGCAGCTCCTGGGGGAGCTCAGAACGGCTGTGGGACCACACAGCCTGCGGAGGCACAAGAGCTGCACCAAACCCAGGGTGCGCAGGGCCACCTCCTCCCCATGGTCCCCAGGGCCACCTCCACCCCGGGGTCCCCCCACTCAGCAGCTGGGGGCAGCCTGAAGACCCCTTTCTTTCTCCTGGGGGACTGGAGTTGCTACAGCCAGGGCTGTGCCCAACCTGGGGGTCCTGGGGAAGGGCTGGAGCCCAGCTTAGA